CATGAACATTAATAAATTATTGTCCGTGTTGGCTGGTTAGTAATACGATGATGGGAAGACTCATCACACAAACGCCTTGCTGTCGTGGTTAGGTACACTTCCCTTAATAGGACAAGATGCTGAACGCATTATCAGAGATCACCACGAAAGACCCACAGTTAGGTTCACATTAATAACATCAGATGTGAATAATAATAGTCATTATAATTATGGATAAAATTGTGTGACGGACGGTGGTGGGTCAAATATGTGTACGTCGCTTTTCCCACACCCATCGGAATACACTTACCCGCTACCAGTGACAGGTGTGGCAACTGTTGCTAAGACAACAGGTGATTACATGAACCTATATTTATTATTTATCTATGTGTAATATTACATATGTGTTGCCCTAAAGCCTACATGTAGGTATGAGGTAGGTTAATTGGATGCACATATATATACTGTGTAGAGTAATTTTTTCTTGAAAAACAGCCTACATCATGCATAAAAGACCCATCATACATCATGTTTAGCTAAATCATCCAAAAACCTTTAGTTTGCTAAATAGCCTATCTATCCACACTTTTTAACCAATGCTGAAAACAATGTAAATGATTGTCAAATAATTGTTTTTGTCGTTTTCTCTCATTTCTCCAAAATGGACATAGGCAGTTTTGCAAATAAGCTCTTCATATATATATATATATATATATATATGCTCGAAGCTCCGCACAAAGAATTCCCTTGCCTGGTTCAGGTAGCATGCAGTCGTTTAGGTGCAGGCCCTGTATATTCCGGCTCGACGAAAGCACTTTGCCTAGAATTTGACACGTAGCCGCTGTGAGCCCATTGGTTGACAGATCCAAAATAATGCCACTGTTTTGATTTACAGCCGAGGACCTAAAACAGAACAAATTAGAATCAGGCGCACCATGCACATCAACAATTAGTCCGAGATTCCTCTGACCAATGCCCACACCGACGATTTTGGTGGATTTGGTGTGGGTTAGATCGTCGGTGTGGGCATTGGTCAGAGGAATCTCGGACTAATCAACAATATATGTATACGCGGTGTACCTATAGTTCTACCTATGTTGATAGTAATCTGAAAGCCATACAAGCGAGTAAAAATTATAGTATGCATACCTCGTCATTGCATCTAGCACACAATCCTGTGCATCGACATTGTGTGCCTTGCATAGCTGCAAATAGGTGTTTCTAAACTCCTCCATTTTTTTCAGTTCGTCATTGCCAGCGTCTATTCATCCTTTGTGCACAGTAATGTAGGACAGTTGTCGACACCATGTCGTCCAGAGCGTGTAGGCAGCCTGTGATTATAAATACAGATGAAAGATGTAGGTTATACTGCATTATTAGACATACATCATATCAGGAGTAGATAATAGAAGACTATTATCTTTATTATCTATACCTATATCTACTCCTGATCATATATGTATTGTACATGTATCTTTTCTGTGAATGTAGCCTAGGGCCTGGCGAGCCTAGGCGAATGACCTGCCGAGTCTGTTCTGTGCAATCCTTATAACATAACATTATGAACACTTTACTTCACAATTACTTTCACTAAATCGCAACATAACTTACTGAAGTTTTTGGTGGTAATAGGTGTTACATTAGAGATAATATTAATAAGAAGTAGAACCACCGTGACCACAATCAACTAACAACACGATCATTGTTGTTATGTGTATTTCGCCACGCTACCGCGAGGGTGCGCTACTGTAGCTGATCCAATCGCCGGGCGCGAAATTTTTTTCCCCACTCGAGTTCCGGACCCACCATAGATAGTGTTTTGTAATAAATGGTACTTATATATAGGGTTGGGTTATAGTTACTGTTACTGTTAGGGTTCGGTTACTTGTTAGGGTTACGGTTAGCATTACAATGCACACACACCGCACCACACACACACGCACCACGCACGCCCACACACACACACGCACGCACGCACACACACACACCCACGCACGACTACGCACGTACTACGGCAACCCACGCCGCACTCACACACACAGACACACAACGGACGCACGCACGACGCACGCACCCACTTAGACACACGCACACACGACAGGACGGCGCGCGCACACACACACACTGGCGCGCGCGGGCGCGGCGCCAGCAACAGACACAGCACACACACGCACACCACACACACACACACGACACACACACATCACACACACACACTAGGGCACACGTTATAACTACCAACATGATGGATGGACGCGTGATGGCGACAGCACGGACAAAGCAAGGGAACATTCAGGCTGCCATCAGTCATACAGCCCCGCGATCGCTAAGATTCTATATTAGGTTCATGCTATATGGTACGTCGATCTGTGTCACGCTTCACAATTTACTCAGCGTAATCGGACATACGGTGGATCAGAAATCCGTGACCTGTATGGGACATGTGGAAGGAGCTGCACAATCACGTGATTCACATTGAAACAAAGTACAACTCTTAGATAACAACGCGTTCGTATCAAATACCGTTATCCGATTTTGCAGTAATAGCTTCTTCCTATGAATACTAACACGTAACCTAGCCTGGTGAAACGTATGTATTCATGACACTATTGCGCTCTACTGGAAATGCTGCATTATGTCAACAAAACATCGGTGTACGTCCATGCAGGAACAGGCAGTGCCGACCTAGTCGGTTGATATAAGTTTGTATTATTGCTAATGCTTCGCTTTGGGCTCCTTACCATTATTAAAGAGAGGCGTTATTTGTCGGGTCTTATTTTTATGTCAAGCTATTATGGCGATATGTTTCCTCTCTACGTAAACGAAAATATATATATATTATATTCAACAGATCATTGTTGTATTTGAGTATTATCTGGGGACTAGACGACATCAGTTCCCTGCGCCACTGATGTTACCGTTAACGTTTTGGTCAGCGTCAACTAGGGCATCGTTACCAGTCGATTAAAAGCGATCTGGCTGGCAATGTTCTTTAAATTAAAATGTTGTAATATTGCATACAAAAGAGCCACCAATTCGAATTCATTTGATAACATCATTCATTTTTAAATGATACATAACTGTCAATGTCAATTGTAGAGCAGCTAGAATACGCCACCTTATTCGGTTGATTATAAATTACAATTAAGTTGTGCGTGTCTGCTAGGGCTTCAAATCATGTAATGCAGCAGACCATGGGAAATTATTTTTACTTGTCAAGCTACTGCGAGAGAGCTATCTTGCTCTCTAATTTTTAAAGCGCATTCACTAAAATATTGTTTAGTTGCGAGATGCCGGGCATTGCAGGAAGCAAAGTCTCCCGCGATGCATACCAAAAAATCGGTACATTCTGACATCGTATTAATGATTTTAAGCTAACTAGTTGGCAATGAGCTTTAAATTAAAAGTTTTATTTCACAAGTCCTATACATACATCTATCCAAACAATTACTACTGCATCTGTCATGTTCTTCGATAGAAATTTTATTATTGTCATGTCAGGCATTTTACCTGCGGAGGAGACAGTTGTTCGAAAGAGCGATGGATATGTTCCCTCTGTTTGCATTTGATGGAATGTTATTATATATATATTATTGAGTATATATATATATATATCTAATATTTATTATATTTATTTATTTGTACCCGTGTGTTATAGACTATATCATACCGCCCCCCTCTCCTCTCTCTCCGTTCTCATCTCTGCTCTCTGCCCTCCCCCCTCTCTCTGTCATCTATCTTTCTCTCTCTCTCTCTCATCTCATCTCTCTCTCTCTCGCGGGAGTGGGGGCCACTGGGGGGGGCTGTACATTTCGTGGGGGGCACAATATGTAACTTTTCTGTTTATTGATTACTTTCTAACGGCATTGTTTTTAATAGTCAAAATTTTTTTTTAATCAAGCATGAATTTTCACTGTGGGGGCCACCTGGGGGGGCCAGACAAATTTGTGGGAGGCTCGTTGGCCCCAGCCCCCCCCGCCGTAGCTACTGCCCTTGCGCCAGCACACACAACACACAGCACACACCACGATCACCACACACACACCGCGCGCGCGCGCCACACACAATCACAACACAACACACACACGAACACACACACACCACAGCACACACACACACATATATTATATATATAATAATATATATATATATATTTATATTTATATATATGTTACGCGCAATCTTCCGATCTGCGCAATGCTAATATAAGGACAGAATGTGTATGTATAATTATATCAGGAGTCTATCAAATTATATCAATCTATTATGATTAGACTCCTGATTATATTATTCTCAGGAGGTCAACTATAATTGGGGGGAGCAAAATTTTTTTCCCACTTGAATTCCGGACCACAGCCAATCGCGGCCACTCCATTCACTCGACTTCCTTCTGATAGCAACAATGTAAAATGAATTACCAACTACACCTAACCACTAAAACCTAAACCCTAACCTGTGAAGCCCTAACAAAATCCGAACCCTAACAGAACAGTAACTATAACCCAACCCATATAATATAGTACCAATTTATCAAGCGGCAGTCCGGAACTGCCGCGGAGCCCGCGGCGACACGCCGCGCGTCACTTTTTCGAGCCATAAATTTTCCGTATACCAATATCTTTCAATAATTTATACCTGTCGTTTTGGCGGTACCAATTATCAGTGTACGTATACTTGTAATCTAGGCCCCATAAGCAGAGCCCCAGGGTCAGATGAGTCAGGTCAGGGTCGTGTTACAGGGGTGCGGTCTAGGATCC